AGAGGATCTCCCAGCATTCCCCAGGACAGTAAACCCCTAAAATTACCCTTAATGCAACCAGCCCCTGGATCTCTGTAAGGTTTATCTCTCACCCTTTGTGGTGTGTGTGTCTTACCAAAGCATCCAAAGTGATAACCCTTCTGAAGTTTATTTAGATCATCCAGATCTCTTCAGACTATATTATGACAGAGATATGACAATTAGTAGAGCCTTGGAGAAAAACTTAAATGCATAATATTGTCTATGGGAATGTGAGATTTTTTCAGATATTCTATTCTTATAAAGAGAGGAAAACAAACATTTTTCACAGCAATAGTTGAATACTAGGTACCTAAGACTATGTTAATATCCTATATCCAGCATGACCATTGCAATTGTCTTACTATTTGAGTTTGAAATAGTCTCTCTCACCCACCAGGCTCTGTTCATATTTTTCAAGGACCAAACTGATGAATTAAATGAAAATATAACTGAAACTACACCTCTACATTCTCTATGTTTTTAAAAGTGGCACTAATTTCTGCCATCCTCCCTCCTCGGAATGCTATATATTTTCATTTACTAACTTGGCCAGGACAGGGAAGTGCAGTTTCAGAAGAATTCACTTGGCTTTCTCATCTACAAATAGCTCTGATTCCATAGACCAAGAAACTATAATGGGGCTTATACCAAGTACCAACTATGTCTATTCTAATTATACATTCAGTAATCAAGAAAATAGCCATGGGATAAGTCTGTGGACCCAACAGATCCACTGTGAACCAGACCTAGGCCAGTATCCCATTAACTACCTGGCTCTCATATGCCCCATCCGAGCCTTGGGGCTATGATGGCATTTTAGGTCTCTGGGTATCAATTTAACTCAGAACAACTGTCGGCCCTCAAAATGTTTGGGTACTCCTTTTCCTTGGCACAGTTTCCTGAGTCAATGGAAGGATGGAGGAATCATTACTATGCATGATATTATAGTAAGGTCATTCTTCCTGGGCACCCAGCCTCTCCTTCACGGTGTTGTAGGTCAAAAATTGACTTAGGATCATAAGCTAGCCAAGGGATTTTGACTTGTTTTCAAAGTAACTTCTCTCAGACTTCCAACCACCTTTAATTAATATATTGTACAGATTGTGAATTGGTAACTAATTTCACAAAGGCACCATGTTAAAATGACTGTCCATGTCCTATTAACCACCTCTTAACCATTTATCCACCTTCAGCACTATGTCGTACTAATCATCTCTGTAGTTCTCTGCAGATTAGACCTCCCAATCTACCACACTGACCCTGTAGTACATAGTATTTGCATCCACCTGATTTCTGACAGTTAAGTGCGGCCATCTGGTCTCTATTGTTTCAGAGTCATCACCATTTCTGTGATTAATCCTTTTTTTCCACGACATATTTTCTACTCTGAGAGCTGACCTGCAGAGGAAGTATTACCACTGAAATTCTTAGAGATGGTGGTGCCTTTCTCACTTGTACACTCCTTATAGTTTGGTAAACAGTGTGTTCTGTTGGTTCTCCTGCAGAATGTAGACCTCTGGACGATTTTTTTAGCCTTACATAATATATGTATTCTATCATTCTCACTTCTATGAGTTTTTAATTCTTTATCATCTGCTATAGTCATTTATAACTTACTTAAAGTAAGCTATTGTTTTTCCATACTTTGAAGAGCTATCCTAGTAGTGAGTTCAAATCATCTCCTGGGGTCTTAGCCAGGATGTTAAATCTCATATCCTAGGAAAGCACTCTCAAATTGATTTGTTCTCCTATATTCAATTATACATTCCAGTCCCACTTATCAAGCTCCTCAAAATTCAGTCTCATGCTTTCTCCCTCAACACTTGATAATACTTGCTGGCTAGGTTAGGTCCTGAAGCTTCTTGTTGGTATAGTCCTTTTTCTTCCTTTTTACATCCAGTATATCTGCATGTAGGTTATGCTGTGGCTTGCCACTAAGTTATAGTTCCAGTGCTGCAATGGCAGATGGGGGCAGATTCCAAGGGAATTCCATGTTATCTTACAGGGGAAAGAATTCTGAATCCTCAAACGAGATAGAGTGGTAGCCCTCAATAGGGAAGTATGGAACACTTCTTAATACCCAAGGGGTTTAGAAGAATCTGGGGATATAAGATTTTGGGGAACACCAATGAGGAGGTCCCCATCCCATGTGTTAGGATCCCATTCCTTCCTAATCAGAGCCCTGATCTTAGCGTAGAAGTTTTGCTTGGTTGGAATTTTAACTTTCTTTTAAGCTTGCTTTCAATAAGTCTTATGCTTGGTCCTCAGATTTCTCTACATCTACCTGGAAAAGATGAAAGCGTCTTTATATGCTATGCATGAAATCCTCTGGCTTTCAAATGTAACTTTTAATCATTGATTAATTTTATTGACATTTTCATTTTTTAAGGGGGTCAATAAAGTTTAGCAATAACCATCCAATTTTCTCGCCTTCCTTATATTTAGTATTTCCCCTCATATTTCTCAAAGGTCTGATACCTGGTACCAGATAATGTATTCCGTCCCACCACTATGCCATCCCAGTATCCTATGTGGGAAGGTTCTAACAATTTCTTCTTCTACTTCTTTTCTGGGGCCTATCTACTCCACCTACCACCATTGATGAGATCCTCATTGCCAGCTGACCAGCAGGCAATCCATTTTCAAAATTGCATCACAGTGTTTGCTTTCTTGAACAACTTCTTTTTTTTTATTTATTTATTTTTTAGTTCTCGGCGGACACAACATCTTTGTTGGTATGTGGTGCTGAGGATCGAACCCGGGCCGCACGCATGCCAGGCGAGCGCGCTACCGCTTGAGCCACATCCCCAGCCCATCTTGAACAACTTCTTAACCAACTCTTTCAGGTTGGCTTCCTGGGCAGCAGACTCAGAGACAGAGTTCAGCATGAAGCATTTTTATTAGGGAATATTCTTGGGACCAATACCTGTGGAAGGGAAAAGAAGGAAGCAGGAGAAGTTAAGCTGTTCCAATTTGAGAGAAGAAGGTTATGACCCTCAGTCATAGGAAAGGAAGTACCCACAGGAAGCCAGGCAGCGAGTGTGACCTTGGGGGTGGGGTGGGGGTTGGTTCTCTTCAGCTGAAGCAATTCCTAAAGAGGTCTGGCAGCTGAGGGTTGTCTACCAGCAGCACTCTAGGCAACTGAAATAATGAGTTCTTTCTTTCTGAAGGAGGATCAGGGAAGCAGATGGCAGAATCCACTACAATATGTTATTTCTTTTCAATAGAAAGTTGGTAGCCATCAAATGCTAGGATTGAGAATAGCTTGATACTTAAAATAGTTTAAAATATTTACATATTTAGAACTTTATTTAAAATATTATTCAAAATGTTAAGGTATATCGTTCAAATATTTAGACATAAATATGCAACCCTCCACTCATACTTTTGCTCTATGTGTCTCAAATATTATTGACAGACTTCAGTATCCCAAATCTATCTTTTCCTTTCAGATAAATCATGAAAGAAATTCCCATTTATTATGTAGTTATCATAAAATCTATAATACTAAGACAAAAAAACAAACATAGAATCACCCATTATTTTAACACTCATAGAGAACTATTAACATTCTCAGAATATACACTGGTAAATACATATAAATCACTTAAATACATGCCTTTTTTTCATAAAAGGTATCATATGTGCCTTTACAGATTGCTTTTTGCACTTAAAATTATATGCTGAATTTTTATGTAATTAAATGCAGACGCCTATTAACATTTTTAACAGCTACAGATTATTTCAGTGTGTAGGTACACCTTAGTTTGTTTAGCCAAATGTCTATGTTGAGACACTTGGGTCAATTCACTTTTTCACCTTTCAAAACAGTTTGAACAATGCACAGCTTCATCCAAGCCAATAGATGGATGGGATCCTAAGGATAACATTTCACAAGCAGAATTATTCAGTTGAAGGGCAGGCACATCTTGAACACATATCTCTATGGACCTAGCACCTTGTGTGCTCCCAGCAGCACAGTTTGAGAGTTCTCCTCAACCAATACCATGGGGTGGGAGAGAAGTGGGTCTTTTGCTCTGTGGATCCCAACCACACTCTCTATAGTTCCTTAAAGTCCCCACCCCAACCAGCTAATAAAAGAAATCTGATGCAAGCACTAAAAATTTTGCATTCTTTCTTTGACTGCATTTTACTATTATTTCAAGGCAGCAACTCTTTATCCACTTACATACACACTAGAGTTGGCCAAGAAAAAGAACATGTTCCCAACAAATGCCCATAGAACCATAAAAGAAAATTGGCCTCAGAAATCTCTGTTACCCAGCACCTAGTGGCTCAAAGGGTCTCTTGCTTCCATCCTGTCCTTACCATCCCCAGAGACACCACTGAAATGTCTTGCCTTTACCCTCTCATGCTTGGACTATGGTGGTAACTTCCTAACTGGTTTTTCAATCTCCATCACCATTCTGGCCCCACCCCAATTGGCACCCAACCTGCACACAAATCACCATGTGGTTTTCCTGGCATCCTGTCATTCCTCTGGACATGAAAGGCTTTGTTGTCTCCCAGGGTTAGATAGGCTAGTATTTGGAGGTCAAATGGGCTACTATTTGGACACCCCAGTGTAGCAATCAGGGGTGTTCCGTGGACAGGACTCACCCCATCTCTCAGACTCTCCCCTCACTTGCCTCCCCACATATTGCACTCCAGGCAGGTCAGCCTGCTCCTTGCCTTTCTTCCACCCTCTTCCCTCCTTGAATGCCCTTCTGGCTTTTCTATCTTATCCTTCAAGCCCAGCTTACTTCGAGTGTCCTAGTGTCCCTCTCCTCTGTAAAACCTTCTCTGAGCACTGGTGGATTCAGCAGTTTCTGCTGCCTCTAAGCATTGATGGGGATGCATCTGGCTGTGACTGGATGGCCTAGTTTTGTTAATATATTTTTGTTTCCATATACCTTGTCTCTTCACACAGATCATAAACTCAAGGAAAATGACAATGTCTTTTTTTCTGCTGCTTAAAACACACAACTTTATTGATGACATAAAAATAAAGTCTCAAATGTATAAACATAAGTCCACACAAAGGACCAAAGATTACCTTACTTATGAAGAATCAGCTCAGTTTCTGCTCATGAAGCATACTAAAAATATCTCAATCCAGACAAGATAAAAATCAACACATGTATTTTCAGTACAAGTTTGGATTCATTTGGTGCTCATAAAATGGCCCATCTATAGACCATCATAGATAACATCAGTTTTGAAGTTATAACACAACTTACAATGTGCATCACTTCCAGGCTACAAAACCAAAATATTACTCGAATGTGTGTAGGAACATATATCCAATTAGAGTTTGTTTATTAATAGCTCAACTTTTTCCTTTACCTCTGGGTCACTGCATTCTGCTGCTAAGGCTCGAAGTTTTTTGGCACAGGCTTTAGGTCGTTGGAATAGGAAATAAAGAGAATTTTTACTGAATTTGTCCTGGGTAAATGTTTTTGATCTTCTTTTAAAATGGTAATTTATATTCTCAAATAGTGAAAGAGCATTAAGAATATTCTCTTTTGTCTCTTTCTTGCTAAAAATATTAATCAGTGTTGTTGGTGCATTGGCAATGAGCAAGTCTTTTGTCATAGATGGATTTTTAGAGAAATTCACAAGCATTCCCAAAACATGATCTTTAGTTTCTCCACTTCCCACAGTTAACAAACGAAGAAATTCTGAAATATAATTTGTAACCATATGCTGATATTCACTAGTAATAGTCAGGTGCCTTATCAATCTTAGTCCAGCCAGCTGCACATTTGAGTTCAAGGGATAGGTGACAGTATCTTCACAAACTTGGTTTAAGTATGTTTTAACCTTTCTATGGTTTTCAGCAGCCACTGAGATGTTATTCAGTGCATTTAAAGCCTTCTGCCTAACACTAGGGTAGGGATTACTCAGCAAGCCTTCAATAACTGAGATTCCCCCAACATTACGAACAATTTCATGGGAATAAGGATAATCAGCACTGTTATATAGGGCATTAGTGGCTATTTCATGAACAGAAGGATCTTCAGTCATCTCAATCATGCAAATGAGTTTTTCAAGATCTCGTGGATCCATATTAGCTTCACGTTTACAGCGGCAGGACCAGGGCTGCATTTTCTCCCCAGACTTGCCATTCTTTCTATACTCATCTTCACCTAGAAAGCCCTCATTTTGTTGAGTAAACTTAGTTTCCGACCAGATCATGGCTCCATCCCATGGCCCCATTCCCGCCCCAGGGACCATGGATGGATATATACCTCTTGACTCAGCGGACTTTTTGCCTTTAGCATTAGGTGCAGATTTGTCTTCATTTCTGTTTTCATTACCAGTACAGAACCAAGTCCTTAGATCAAATCCATCAGCAGCCTCAAATTTATTGTCAATGCTGGCCTTATCCCCAGCTCCAGACTCAAAATTAACATCTTTTCCACTCTTGGATGTGAACTCACTACTGTTCTCACTCTCAGCCCAAAACAGGGACCTTAAACTGATCTCCTCAATATCAGGGCTGGATGATCTACTTAGCTCATCCTCATCTACATCCCTAGACCAAGTCCAAGATGGTATGCCAGCTTCTTCCTCAGCCCCAAACCTAGACCCTTTAGTTGTTACATCTTCATCCCAGGGCCAAGACCCCAATCTGGCTTCAGCCCCAGCCTCAGCTCCAGCCACTGCCCCACCCTCAGCCCCAGCCACTGCCCCGGCCTCAGCTCCAACCTCAGCTCCAGACTCAGCCCAGGCCTCAGCTCCAACCTCAGCTCCAGACTCAGCCCAGGCCTCAGCTCCAACCTCAGCTCCAGGCTCAGCCCAGGCCTCAGCCCCAACATCAACCCCAGCCCCAACCTCAACCCCAGCCCCAACCTCAGCCCAAGCCCCAACCCTGGCCTCAGCCCAGGCCTCAGCCCCAGCCTCAGGCCCAATCCTGGCCTCAGCCCAGGCCTCAGCTCCAGCCTCAGCTCCAACCCCGGCCTCAGCCCAGGCCTCAGCCCCAGYCTCAGCTCCAGTCTCAGTCCTGGCCTCAACCCCAGCCTCAGCCCCAGTCTCAGCGCCAATCTCAGCCCCAGCCTCAGTCCGAGTCTCAGCTCCCATCTCAAATCCAGCCTCTGCCCAGGTCTCAGCCCCGGTCTCAGATCCAGCCTCAGTTCCAGCCTCAGCTCTGGTCTCAGATCCAGCCACAGCCCAAGCCTCAGCTCCAGTCTCAGTTCCAGCCACAGCCCAGGTCTCAGCCCCGGTCTCAGATCCAGCCTCAGTTCCAGCCTCAGCTCTGGTCTCAGATCCAGCCACAGCCCAAGCCTCAGCTCCAGTCTCAGTTCCAGCCACAGCCCAGGTCTCAGCCCCGGTCTCAGATCCAGCCTCAGTTCCAGCCTCAGCTCTGGTCTCAGATCCAGCCACAGCCCAAGCCTCAGCTCCAGTCTCAGTTCCAGCCACAGCCCAGGTCTCAGCCCTGGTCTCAGTTCTGGCCTCAGCCCCAGTCTCAGTTCTGGCCTCAGCACTGGCCTCAGCCCCAGCCTCAGCCCTGGCCTCAGCCCAGGCCTCAGCCCTGGTCTCAGCCTCAGCCTTAGTCCTGGTCTCAGCCCAGGTTTCAGCCACAGCCTCAGTTCTGGCTTCAGCTCCAGCCTCAGTTCCAGTCTGAGCCCCAGCCTCAATCCCAGCATCAGCCCTGGCCTCAGCCCCAGCCTCAGCTGTGGCCTCAGTCCTGGCCTCAGCCCCAGCCTCAGCTGTGGCCTCAGTCCTGGCCTCAGCCCCAGCCTGAGCCCTAGCCTCAGCTGTGGCCTCAGTCCCAGCCTCAGCTCCAGCTTCAGCCCTGGTTTCAGCTGTGGCCTCAGTCCTGGCCTCAGCTCCAGCCTCAGTTCTGGCCTCAGCACCAGCCTCAGCCCCTACAGAGGAACCTACATAAGCTGCCTCCTCAGATCTGATCCAGGACCCAATACTGGCCTTGTTCTCATCCACCAACTCAGAATTATTGATAATCTCTTCCCCAGTTTTTGATGTGGATTCAATACTTGACTGATGCTTACAATCAGACCTGGCCACAATAACAGCCTCTTCCCCTGTCCAACACCAAGAACCTATAAAGGCCTCACTCCCAGGCCCAAACCAGAATCCTTCATTGGCCTCTACCTCAGCACTAACCAAGAATCTTCCACTGGCCTGGTCCTCAGACTTAGCCCAAGACCCTCCACTGGCTTGGTCCTCAGAGCCCAGCCTAGAGCCTCCACTAGCTTCATTCCCAGGCTTAGACACAGCCCAGGATTCTCCACTGGTCTGATCCCCAGCACCAGCCCAAGAAGCTCCTCCACTAGCCTGATCCTCAAATCCAGATTTAGAGCAGACAACAGTCTGATCCCCAGGCCCAATCCATGCCCCTCCACTGACCTGACTCACGGTGGCAGCCCAGGATCCACCACTGGACTGGTCTGTGGGACCTGATATAGACCCTCCAATTACATGGCCACCAGCTCCAATCCAGGAACCTCCTCCATTAGACTGATCCTGAGACCCTGGTCTGGATCCTCCACCAGTCTGATCTCCAGCACCAGCCCAGAATCCTCCTCCAATGGCCTGATTCTCAAATCCAGGTTTGGAACAACTACCAGCCTGATCCCCAGCCATAGCCCAGGACATTCCACTGACCTGACTCCCAGTGCCAGCCCAGGACACAACACTAGACTGGTTCATGGGCCCTGGTCTGGACACTCCGACATCTTGACCACCAGCCACAACCCAAGACCCTGTTACATTGGTCTGACTTGCAGTGTAAGCACAGTACCATCCACTGGTCTGGTCCCCAGTACCAACCCAGGAATTTCCACTGGACTGACCTCCAGACCCCAGGCTAGATCCTCCACCAGGCTGGTCCCCAGAATTAGCCCAGCATCCTGCTGCATTGGTCTGGTCCTCAAATACAGGATTTGCCCCACTGGCAGCCAGGTCCCTAACCCCAACCTGGGACTCTCCACTGGTCTGGTCCACAGCCCCAACCAAGAACCCTCCACTGATTTGATTCCCTGAATCTGCCCAGGATCTTCCACTGGACTGATCCTCAGGCCCTGACTTGGACCCTCCACCAGCCTGGGCAATAGCCCCAGCCCAAGAACCTTCATCACTGGCCTGATTCTCAAAACTAGGCTTAGATCCACCACCAGATTGATCACTACTTCCAGTCCAGGACCCTCCAATGGCCAGGTTCCTAGTGCCAGTCCAAGACCCACCACTGGACTGATCTGAGGGCCCTGGTGTAGATCCTCCACCAGCCTGGTCCCCAGTGCCAACCCAGGATGCACCACTTGGGTCTACAGGCCCAAGCCTGGGCCCTCCACTGGCTTGATCTGCAGTATCAGCCCAAGACCTTCCACTGGACTGGTCCTCAGGTCCCAACCTGGACTCTCCACTAGCCTGGACAACAGCCCCAGTCCAGGACCCTTTTTCACTGGCCTGATCTTCAAATCTAGGCTTGGTCTCACCACTGGACTGATCACCAGTCCCAGCCCAGGACCCTCCAGTGGCCTGGTCCATGGCCCCAGTCCAGTAACCAATACTAACTATGTTTCCAGCTCCAGCCCAAGACACCGCACTAGCCTGATTATCAGCCACAGTCCAGGACCCTCCAGTAGCCTGGTCCACAACCCAGGAAACACCAGTGGCCTGGCCTGCAGGCCAAGACCCCTCACTGACCTGACCAACAACCCAGGGCCCTCCAATGGCCTGATTCCCAGAGACAACCCAAGACCCCCCACTGGTCTGGTTCTCAGCCCCAGTCCAGGACCCTCCAAAGGCCTTGTTCTGAGCCTCTACCCAGGAACCACCACTGGCCTTGTCCACAGCCCAGGACCCCTCACTAGCCTGACCCCCAGCCCAGACTCCTCCACTGGCCTGATCCCCAGCTCCTACCCAAGATGCAACAGCAACCTCATTCTCAGCCCTAGCTCCAGCCCCAGCCCAGGACTTAATGCTGGTCTCATCACAGGCCACAGCCCAGGAACTGACAACACCAGCCTTATCACTAGCCCCACTCCAGGACCCAATACTGGCTTCATTCTCATCATCAGCCCAGGACACACTATTTTCCCAGTCTCCATCCATGGCCTGAAACCTAAATTTGATCCACCGCTCAGCAGCAATCCAATCCTCTACACCAATTCCATTCCAGTAATAGTCATGAATATTAGGCTGAGTCCTTCTGCAAGCCTGAGAGTCTATCCCACCTTCACTCTCAGATGTGGGCACAGCCTCAGACTCAGGCTTTGCATAGACTTCATCTTTTGCTATGGTTTCTGCTTCAGAATTGGACACAGCTTTTTCCCTTGCACCAAGCAAGGCCTCATCTTGGGAACTGGCCACAGTTTGGGGCTGAGCAGAGCTCTTTATACTTGTCCTGGCCCCTGCTTTAGTCACAGTATTGGAATTGCCCCTGACCTTATTCCTGGCACCAAGCAAGGCCTCGTTTTGGGAGCTGGCCATAGCCTGGGGCTGGGAAGACCCCGTTGTACCTGCCCCAGTCGCTGTCTTAGGCACAGCACTAGAATGGCCCCTGACCTTATTCCTGGCACCAAGCAAATTCTCACCCTGGGAATTAGATACAGCCTGGGGCTGGGCAGAGCCTGTTGTATCTGCCCCAGTCTCTGCCTTAGGAATAGCATTGGGATTGCCCCTGACCTTATTCCTGGCACCAAGCAGGTTTTCACTCTGGGAACTGGCCACAGCCTGGGACTGGGCAGAGTCTCTTGAATTTGCCCCAGCCTCTGTCTTAGGCACAATATTGGAATTGCCCCTGATCTTATTCTTGGCACCAGATAAGGCCTCACCCTGGGAACTGGCCACAGCCTTGGGATGGGCAGAGCCCATTGTACCTGCCCCAGCCTCTGGCTTAGACATAGCAGTGGGATTGCCCTTGACCTTAGTCCTGGTACCAGTCAAGCATTCACCCTGTGAATTGGCCACAGCCTGGGGATAGGCAGAATTCACCCCAGCCTCTGCCTTAGGCACAGCATTGGAATTACCCTTAACCTTATTCTTGGCACCAGGCAAGGCCTCATTCTGGGAATTGGCTACATTTGGGGGCTGGGCAGAGCACACTGTATCTTGCCTGACCCCTACCTTAGGCACAGCATTGCGATTGCCCCTGACCTTATTCCTGGTACTAGGCAAGGTCTCACCCTGGGAATTGGCCACAACCTGGGGCTGAGCAGACCCTGTTGCATCTGCCCCAGCCTCTACCTTAGGCACAGCATTGGTATTGCCCTTTACCTTATTCCTGATACCAGGCAAGGCCTCATTCTGGGAAGTGGTCACAGCCTGGGACTGGGAAGAGCCCATTGTACCTTCCACAGTTCCTGCCTTAGGCACAGTGTTGGAGTTGCCTTTGACCCTATTCTTGGCACCAGGTAGGGTCTCACCTTGCAAATTTGCCACAGCTTGGGGCTGACCACAGGTCCTCTGGTCTGTCTTAGACCCTGCTCTGGAAATGGCATTAGAATCACTACTACCATCAACCCTGGAATCATGCAAGGCCTCAGCTTGGGTCTTGATCCCAGCCTGAGGCTGTACACAGGTTTTCATGTCTGTCCCAACCCCTGCTTTACATTTGGCTTTGGCTTTGCCCCTTGTCTTACCTCTAGTAATAGGTAAGGTTTCACCCTGGCTCTGGGCCGTAGCCTCAGCTCCTTCCTTAGACATGGTATTGGCATTGCCCTTAGCCTTGATTCTTCCATCAGGCAAGACATCACCCTGGACATTTGCCACAGACTGAATCTGGGTACAAGACAACATGTCCATCCCAGCCCCGGCCTTAGCCATGACATTGGGATCACTTCTGGTCTTATCCCTGGTATCAGTCAAGGCTTCAACTTGTGAATAGGTCCTCGTGTTTGTTCTGGCCACTGCTTTAGCCATGGCATTGGGATTGGCTCTACCCTTAACCTTGGCATCAGGTATGGCCTCAACCTGAGCACTGGATACAGCTTGTACCTGAGCAGTAGCCCTCATGTCAGCTCCAGTCATTGCCTTAGATATGACATTGGAATTTACCCTGCCATCAACCCTGGCACCAGATGTTGCTTCAGCCTGTTTTTTGGCCATAGTCTGAGACTGTATTATACAAGCTTTCATATCTGCCTCTATCTCTGTTTTACACATGGCATTGTCATCACCCCTGTCAATAACCTTTGCCCCAGGCATGGCTTCAGCCTGTGTCTGGGGAGCAATTTGGGGCTGGAAAGAAGCCTTTGTGTCTACCCCAGAGCCTGCCTTACACAGGATTTTAAGATTACCCTTGTCCTTATCACCAGGCATGTCATCATCTTGGACCTTGGCCACAGCCTGAGACTGTGCACAGAACTTCATGTCCACTCCAGCCTCTGCCCTGGACGTGCCATTGAGATTTTCCTTAGCATCAACTGTGGGATCAGGCCTAGCCTCAGAATGAGTTTTAACCACACTCACAGTCTCTTCCAGGGTTCTTGTCTTGGTTTCAGCCACAATTCCAGCCTTGTTCATGGTCCCAATCTTGACCATTTCCTTGGTCACTGCCAAGACCTCACTCTGTGTCACCATTACTTTGTTAATCTCTGTCTCTTTTTCAGCCAATGTATGAGCTTCAGCTTTGGTCTGGGTCATTGTTTCTTTCTTGGCCTCTGACCTGGCAACCGCTGCCCAAGCTTTAGCCTTGGTCTGGGTCACTGCCTCTTTCTTCACTAGTCCCCCAGCCTCAGCATCAGTTTGGGTCACTGCCTCTTTCATGGCCACTTCCCTAGCTTTGGCATTGGCCTCAGTCAGAGTCACTACCTCTGTCATGATCAGTGTTCCAACCACTGATTTGGCCTCAAATTCAGTCTCTGTCTCTGCCTCAGCCATTGCCTTGGACTGAGAGTTGGCTTTGGGTCTGGATATAGCAGTGACCTGGGCCTCTGCTTCAGCCCCAAGCCCACCTCCTGCTCCAGTTTCTGCTCCAGTCATGGCCTTGGGTCTAGTCTCAGTCTCTGCCCCAGCCAAGGCTTCACTTGTGGCCAAGGTCTGGTTCTGTACCCCAACCATAGTCTCCATCTTGACTTTGGACCCATTTCTGGCAAGTCTCCTCTCATTCTGAGCTCTTCCCTTGGTTAATCTGTAAATGTAGTAGCAGGTGCCAGCCCAGATCACCAGTCCTGCAGTTGCCCAGCCCACTTCCTGAATGCGGCCCATGTAATAACCCCTGCTGAAGGCACGAACAAGGTACAGGGGGGCTCACTCGGGCTGAGGAAAGAACGTGATAGGTCTGGATGTAGGCCTGTGATGGTGCTGGTCTTCAGCCACTACAGTTGCAACTGGTGGTAGACCTAGAAGTGAAGGAAGGAAATAAACTAAAATTTCTCTTCCAGTTCTATTGTATCATACAGCTGGATATACAGAGGAACAGGAAAAGGCAGAAATTATGTGTTTGGTGGGAGAAGAGAATAATTAGCAAACTTTCCATCCCTTATTTCACCCTCTTCCCACCTTCCACAATGCCCAACAATTTTCCCCTGAGGTACTTCCATATACCAGGAAGGATGATGAGAAGGTTGATGATGAATGGGAGAAACTGAGAAGCCTCCAGACTTTAACTTTTACTAGACCTACTCTGGTCACAGTTCCCACAGGTCCCCACTTCCATACCAACCTGTACTGATCCAAAGAATTCCCCTCCTCTTTCCTTTTCTTTCTTGGTGATACGCCCTAAAGTAGATACATAAATTCATGAGATCTTTGGACCTAAAGACAAACAGAGAGACACAGGGAGTGACATACAGGAATAGAGAGTTTGTTTTTGGGGGGAGGTTTATTTGTTTGTTTTCTTACCAGGGATTGAACCCAGGAGCACTTAACCACTGGCCCACATCCCTAGACCTTTTAATATAGATTTCTTTTTTTTTTTTTATTTTGATACAGGGTCTTGCTAAATTGCTGAGGCTGACTTTGAACTTGCAATCTTCCTGAGCTTCTGGGATTACAGGCATGTGCCACCATGCCTGGTAAGAGTTTGTTCTTAATGGGACAAGAATATCAACTCCCTCAGATCACTTCACTCCCCCCAGGGGTTGTCACACTCTTTTCGAATTAAGGTGAGGGTTCAAGGTTAATGACAGAGGTGGGTAAAGATAACTGAGAAAGGGAGGGATTAAGGATCCTCTAGACCAGACACTGGTCCTTATTGGATGCACACTGGTCTCCACTAACCCATCCTAGAAGTTGACCCAGCCAGTCCTCACCTTCTTACCAGTCTATACTGATTGGAGACAATTTTCTTCTTGTTTCTTTGTTTCCAGTTATCTCAAGCCCTGTAGCAGACGTGCAGATAGATCTATAGATAAGTGAACACATAGGAGATAATGAAGACTAAGTGCTTGGTAGAAAAGACAGGCATTTTAATTCCTGACCCCAATGCTTGCCTATAAGAGCCCAGGTCTAGTTTACTAAGGTGTCTTATCTTGTGTTCCCCTACTCAAGTCTTCTTAGTCACACCATAGCCACCCTCACCCCAATATTCTTACTGTTTCCTGCACTAAAATCAACAGGGCATATGCTATCACTGTAGAAAGCTGGCAGAGTGTAGAAGAGTCAGAAAGACCCTCCAATGAGACTCTCTCAAGACTCAAAAACCTGTTCAGCCCACCCTCTCTTGTCATCCCCATGCACTGCCCACATTCACACTAACCTCCATAGTTATGGGCCAGTCTCTTTCTCTTTCTCTTGTTTCTAGTGGTAAATAGGCCTACTGCAAGCCTATGAGAAGACCTAGGAACAGAGACAAAAAAAGGAGGGTGAATGTTGAATGTTTGTGACATCCTAACATCTAACATATGGGTTGTTGTGTCTGCCTTTCTGAGAGACAGCCATTTCCTAGCAGGCAGAACCTAGGGCTTTCCTAGCACTGTAATGCACAGAGTATAAAAGGGAGACAAGTAAAGAAAAAAGGGGAAAGATAGAAGCAACTTATTTTAAAACCACCTGTAGCATTCTAGGGACACCCCCAAAAGTCCTCCATTTCCTTCACCAAGATAGTCAGGAAGGCAGAGGTATCTGTAAAACTGCAGTATGGTGGAAGAGATGCAGGGCCCCAGGCCCCATGACTATAGAACCACAGCCTACTGCCTTCTGCTTTCCCTAAAACCCATTTTGAGGAGTCTCTAGCAGAAGATACAGGTGTGGGGGAGGGCTTTTGTTTCTGCAAAATCATTATCCTTTCCCCCAAAGACTATCTCAAAAAAATAGTAATGTTCTTTGATAAAATCCATATTTTTGACATTAACTGAAGTACAAATAAAAGCATCTGTAGAAAAGTTCGCTGTCTTTATTGGTCTTCAATACAAAATATAAGTTAAAAGTCCCAAGCTTGGTAAAGAAAACACAATTTAGGGAAAGTTGCCTACATCCCAATCAGATAGCAGCGCCTAAATGCTTATCATGGAATTCATATAGAACTTCACAGACGGTGCCCGTGCTCACACTAACCTCCATAGATCCTGTGCAGTTTTCTCCTCTCCTTCCCTCGCCTCACCACAAACAGTGCCACACCGAACTATTGTCAGAAAGAGAAGCAATGAGTGCTTAGAACAGCACACAGGCCACAGACCCCAGTACTCGCCTTTCCGGATTCTGGAACACGATTATCAAACGTCCCTCCCCTCGCTCAGACACCACCCCTACCAACCCAGCCGTCCAGTCACTAAGGCCCACCATTTTCTTTACAAACGCCACCGTGGCGCGTCCCTTCCTCTGAGATGATCAGGAAGCCTGCGGGCATGTGCGGTCAGTGATTAGAATTAGAAAGGATGGACATCTAGTTCTGTATTTCCCTCTTGAGACACTCTCCCCACCAGCCACCCTGTCAAAGCTCATGGTTCCCCTGAACAGATTTAGATGGGGGTAAGGGCACTCGGGAAAATCAGAGGCAGAAGCTCCTTGAACTTGAGCCAGCACAGACACCTCTTTGGCCGGTCCCTGCACCTCAGACGGTTCGGCAAGCAGCTGCTGGCCTGGCGGCGGCGCGCGGCCCAAAAACCCTTACCTGCTAGGCTTTCCCCGGGCCTGATGCTAGCCCGCCATGCGCAGGGCAGCGGGGAGCTGGTAGCCAGAGGAGAGTGACGACTGCACCCTGGGCTGCGTCGCTCTGCAGCTCCGGGTCACGTGAGGGCCGCGCGTCATCGCTGGCTCTCCTCCCCACAGACCCCCACCCTCCGGCAGGCAGTCAACAAGACCCCCTTCCTCAAGCACAGACAACCCCCACCTCCGGTCTCTGCGCGGCGCCTCTGTGCGCACTACCCTGTCACTCATCTCTGTCCTCTCCAATCTGAGAGCCCACAAGTGGCATCACCGCCTTGCGGTTGGAGTTTACCGGTCTCTTGTTGCCAGGGTGGGTCTCTACCCCCCCACCCCCACCCTCACCCACTTCCAGGCCTTGGTTGTAGCCTTTTCTGCATCTTCGAGGAATCCTTTCTTTTCCTGGTATGCTAAAAGATCAATGCTCCCCACCCACCTCCTACACAACCTGCCCTCGCTTAGTACCTACAGCGCCAGCACCAAATTGCCTAGAGAAGGAGGTGCCTGAAAGGAAAGCAGAGTGAAAGTAAAGCCTTAACTTTCTTTTATATATTCCTTTTTTTCCTTTTACTATCACTTTTTTTTGTAATGGGAAAATGCAGTAAAGTCATTTTCATTCGACATAAAAAATATTCAGGTTGTAAAAATAACACGAGACACATTCGTTTACACTATTTTGTGCCACTTAAAAATGTTTTCTACTTGGTATAAACTCTTTCACAGGTTTCAAAACAGACTAGTATTATTGACATTTTAAATAAAAAAATTCCTAAATCAGCACATTTTTCAATATGATCTATACATTAATCTTTGGAAAGACATTTGATTTCTAATCTTGACAGTTTTACAAAAAAAATTATTTATAATTTTTTAAAGTTCTGGCTGAATATATGGTTTCCTGTCTGAGAACTTTTTCAGAGATGATTCCTAAATGATTTAATGAAGACTCAATTCCTCAAGAACCCAGTGCCTTACAAACTAGTGACATCACAGATTAACTGTCTTTCCATTAAAGGGTCTTTGTTTGGATTTTACATAAGTGTGTAATCAAATCAGTCTCACCACACCCATAAAAGGACCAACTGCTATCACAGTTGGATGGAAAGGAGGCTCAACAGGTGGAATTTTCATTCCATCATGACATTAATGAGATGTCTGAAATCTGCCATCCACATACTATCACCATAGCATTGACCAGTGTTCATAATGGTGGTGAAGGTCTGTAGATGACTGTGAATCATCTCAGATCCTGAACAATGGCCAGGAGAAAGAAGTATTTTCACTCACTGTACCACCCGCCCAAGACCCTCAGAATAATTCCAGAACTCAGGGACAAAGAATGTAGAAGTTAGTCTGCAGACACCCACCTGTCCCTGCTGGGAATCATACTCTAAATATAGACCCTCCAGGCAGCCTTTTTCTTAGAATGTTGAAATATGACACCCCAGCCAGCCAGAGGCCCTCCCTATGAGGGGGCCTGCTGTGCAGGAGGCCCTTTTGGAAGGGGAGCCAGGGAGCCCAAGATGCTATAAGACCTTACAAATGTCTTTTCAGAACTTAAATTGATAAATTGATGGCATAAAATTCTAAAATCTTGGTAGTGTTAAAAAAAAAAAAAGATTCATTTCTCTCCTTGTTTAGAAGATGTGAGGGAAGGGGAGGGGGGATAGTAGAGGATAGGAAAGGTATCAGAATACAACAGTTACTAATAGGGCATTATGTAAAATTGTGGATGTGTAACTGACGTGATTCTGCAACCTGCATTTGGAGTAAAAATTGGGAGATCATAACCCACTTGAATCTAATGTATGAAATATGATATGTCAAGAGCTTTGTAATGTTGTGAACAACCAATAAAAAAAAAAACAAAGGAAAGAGGAGCACATAAAAATGCAATAAAAAAAAATTAAAAAAAAAGAAACCATAGCATTGGATGTCAAGGGCTAATTTTTAATGTAAAAACTCCCAGACAGCATAGTTGCTCACACCTGTAATCCTAGGGGCACAGAAGGCTGAGTTAGAAGGATTGCAAGTTCAAAGTCAGCCTCAGAAACTTAGGGAAGCCCTTAGTGAGACTAAAAACTAAAAAAAAAGGCTAGGGATGTGGCTCAGTGGTTAAGCACCCCTGGGTTCAATACCTAGTACAAGGGAAAAAATACTCTCACAAATCATTAATAAAATGATAACCCAATAGAAAAATGTGCTAAAGATATGAACAGATTTGTTCACAGAGAACAAATGACCGACAAGCTTTTGAAAAGATACTCAGCTCCAAAGAAATGCAAATCAAAACAATTATGTCTTACTATGTTTCAGCTATTAGTTTGTTAAAACTTAGAAATTGAATAATTTTGTTGACTGGTTTGTGGAGAAATGTTCACTCATGCACTCTGTTAGATGCAGATATTCTAATTCAATATTTTATAGGGCAATTTGGCACAATGTATTAAATGATAAACAAAATATCCTAATTCTTGGACCCAGCATTTCTTTTTTCCTGCTGCATTATATTATACATAACTGTTGCATTCATTATGCCATATTTGTACATACACATTACATACTTCCCCTGTACCTTCCCTTTCCCTCCCATCCTGATCCCCTTGCTCTGTTCTACTGAACTCCCTTCTATAATGATGATAATTTTAACTAGTTCTTTATAATTTTATATATCACTGTGGTATATTCATACATGCACATAGCATAATTTGGTACATTTCATTCCCCAGTACTTGTCCATGCCCTCCCTCTTCCTTACCCCTCTCAACCTACTTCCTCTACTCTGTTGATGTCCCTTCTAATTACCTTCTAGTTATATCCCCTTCCCCTTCCCCCACCCCTCCCCTTCTCCCTCTCCCTCTCCCTCCCCCCCATTCATTTGACCCCTGACTTCTTGAATCTGGCTTATTTCAATTAGCATGATATTCTCCAGTTACAACAATTTGCCAGCAAATGACATAATTTCATTCTTCTTTATGGCTGAGTAAAACTATATTTTCTTTTCCATTCATCTGTTCATGGGCAAGTAGGCTGGTTCCATAACTTGTCTGTTGTGAATCATGCTGCTATAAACATTGGTATGCATGTTTCACCATAGTATGCTGATTTTAGTTGTTTTGGATAAATACCAAGGACTGGAATATCTGGGTCAAATAGTGGTTCCATTCCTAGTCTTTTGAGGAATCTCCATACTGCTTTCCAAAGCGGCTGTACTAATTTTCACTCCCACCAACAATGTATAAGTATACTCATCCAAATCACATACATCCTGTCTAGCAATTATTGTTAGTTGTATTCTTGATGATAGCCATTGTATTTGGAGTGAGAAGGAATCTCAGTGTAGTTTTGATTTGCAGTTTTCTGATTGCTAAAGATGTTGGGCATTTTTTTTCATATATTTGTGGGCCATTTGTGCTGTTTCCTTTGAGAAATGTTTGTTTAGTTCACTTGCCTATTTGTTGACTTGGGTGTGGTTTTTTGGTATTAACTTTTTTTAATTCTTGTATATTCTGGCTATTAATCCTCTGTCAAAAGAGTAGCTGGCAAAGATTTTCTCCCATTCTGTAGACTTTCTCTTCACACTCTTGTTTCCTTTGCTGTGCAGAAGTTTTTTAAATTTGATGACATCCAATTTATTAATTCTTGGTATTATTTCCTGAGCCTTAGGAGTCCTACTGAGGAGCTCATTGACTACACCTATAAGTTGGAGTGTTGCCCCTATGTTTTCTTCTAACATGTGTAAAATTTCTTGTCTAATCCCTAGGTTTTTGATCCGCTTAAAGTTGACTTTTGTACAAGCAAAGAAGGATTCGGTTTCATTCTTCTAAACATGTATATCGAGTTTCCCAACAACATTTGTTTAAATAAGGCTGTCTTTTCTCCAATGTATGCTTTAATACATTTGTCAAAAATCAGATGATTTTATATGTGTGGATTTGTGCCTGTGTCTTCTATCTATTCCATTGGTCTATGTGTCTGATTTTGTGCCAGTACTATAGCTCTGTAGTACAATTTGAAATTGGCTATTGTGATGTCTTTGACACTGCCCATTTTGCTCAGAATTGCTTTGGTTATTCTGAGTTTTTTATTCTTCCATGTGAATTTTAGGACTGCTTTTTTTCCTAGTCTGTGAAGATTGTCATTGGTATTTTGATGGGGATCACATTGAATCCTGTAGATCACTTCTGGTAATATAGCTATTTTAACAATATTAATTATGACTATTCATGAACACAGAAGGTCTTTCCTTCCCCTAGTATCTTCTTCAATCTCTTTTTTCAGTGTTTTGTAATTTTCACTTTAGTGGCCTTCCACCTCTTTGGTTAGATTTATTTCTAGGTATTTTTGAGGCTATTATGAATGGAATTATTTTCCTGATTTCTTTTTCAATAGATTAATCATTGGTGCATAGAAAATATATTGATTTTTATATGATGATTTTGTATCTTGCTACTTTGCTTAATCTGTTTATAAGTGCTAGAAGTCTTCTGGTAGAATGTTTAGGATCTTCTAAGAAGAATGTATTATACTCTAAGATTCAAACCAAGAAAAAACACTAGCATTGCTTTGACTCCATTATCATCATCCAAATCACAGTTATGTCCCCAGTGTTACAAGTTTGGTGAGTTGAATCCTTTTTATACATTATATATGCATGTATGGCTTTTTAAAATATAAAATAGGATCATATTTGGTATTCTGTTTTGAAACTTATATTTTCATGTAAAAATATGCTTCAGTGAGTTAGACATGTCAGTATATTTAAAGCTGCTTTGTTCTTTTAACTGATGCATGATATTCAATAGTTTGATTGTGATATTTTTTATTTACACACCTACCCCAACTGATGAACATAAAATTGTTCTGGGTCTGAGGTTAATAAAAATAAGTCTTCATTAAACAGCCTGGTATATACAATTTGGCCCATGGGTAAGAAATTATTTTAGGATATCCTACCTGTAAATAGACTTGTTTGATTAAAGGAATAAGATTTTATAAATTTAATACTGCCAAAGACGGATATGAGATCATACAT